GAAGGAAGAGATCTGTATCAGTTGAGCAAATAAAATTTTTATTCCTCTGACGGCAAAAAGGAGATAAATTTTACTTTCTGATGAACAGGCATGATATAAGTGAAAGGGAACACTTATGTTAGTCTACTCAGTGGTGTGCATAAGAATAAAAAAAAAACATCAAACCTTTAAACGTTTAAATGTTGAGCTTTAAATACAGTGAGTGAGATCAGAATGGAATGTAATGTTAACACAGTCTGTTTCTTCTGATGCCAAAATGATTATGCAACCGGCTCCAAGTTGTTAACTGGATTTTTTTTTTAATCCCTTATGCTGACCCCATTTCAAACTGGCTTTTGATTTTAATTTAACTGAATTTCAACAGCATTGCACCTTGCAGTGATAGTTCTGATTTGTAAAATAGTATGTATGTTATCAGAAAGCACATTGCATTCTGTGCTCTGTATAAGACAGAGGCAACTTAGTAACCATTAGCATGAAAAAAATATATAAAATTCCAAACAGTCTGAGGACAAATTGTGCTCTTCCTCTTCAGTGAAGTCAATAATATTATTCTTGATGTGTCCTCAAGGGTAGCAGGGATAAGAATCTGCACAAGATATAGAGACTAACTTTTATTCCAAAATAAAGACCTTATGAAAGTGAATGCAGTATGGAGCTGATGCCAGTTTATATGCATTGAAATTATCTTTAGGGTGCTGGTTTGGTTTTCTTTGTTTTTATCTACAAAAAGATTTTTCAAAAATTCAAAAAAAATGTTTGGAGTTTGGTTAATTAGTATTATCCTGGTCATGTGTATAAATAACTGTGCTAGCTGTGGTCTGCCCAGAAAGTGTGCTTTGTACTGAGATAGTCTTGAAAGTATAATGTGGGCAGAAGGTCAATAAAAGTAAGGAACAGTTCCACAGTATTGTTTGGGAAGAGTCAGGTAGAATTATTAAGTAAGATTTCAATACAGTAAGTGAAACTGTAAAAAAAAAAAAAAATTCACTAAGGGAATCCTTTGAAACTGCTTCCCATTTTGTGATTGGAAACCTGATTTAGTTAAGCAAAGTTTTAGGTTCTTAATCCTTGGGTAAAAAGAACTCACTCCTTTCATTATTAACTTTTTTCCAAGATAAACAGCCATTGCTTAATCTGTCCTGGTTTAGCTTGAAGTCAGCTGAAGAAACCTGTATCTATGAAAAGCTGATACATTTGATGATAAATTCAGTATGTTTTAATCTTGCTTTAGATGTCCTCCATTAAACCATTGACATGTAAGGAGGGAATATCTCTGAATTTGATAGTACTATAGATTTTTAATAGTTCTCATATTTATAGCATTAGGAATTAAAAAGTGGAAATGTCCCATGGTGCAAACAGCATTCATCCTTCCTGCTTATTTTAAATTTTACATGTATAAGGCTTAAATACAGAGAGAAAATTCTTGCACATCCTGATCCATTTTCTCATTTTTTGAGTAAATAAAGTACACAGTAGGCATTTTTCACAAATTAGTTTTTAAAATATATTTTCTTCTGTTGGTGTGCCTATTATGAATGGAGTTGAAAATGGAACATTTGATATGGACATAATATTGTAGTGAAGATAATTTTTTTATCTTAATAAAACTTGTACATTCACAATTATAATTATTCTAAAGGAGTAGTTTAATCTGTCAAACACAGGAGAATAAGAGAAAATTAACAAACACTTCAGATGATACATGAAATCCTGACTAACATTTTTAGTTTGAAAAGACTTCTTGGATCTTCTTTCCAGGTCCTCTCTTTTCACATCCAAAGGGGATATGAGTAAAATGAGGTTTAGTAAGTATTATGATAAAAATGGAAGCATTATAATTTCCTAATCTAATTTTATCAGTTGAAATTATGCCCCCAGTTTTGTCTTTCTTCCTTTTGAACCCATTTTATTAGTCAATTATTTTTCAGTGAGATAATTCGAAAAATTCCTTTTGTAATCTAAATTCAGTATTAGGTCAGTAGTAGCTTTTGGGTTGGCGTTTTTAAGGCTTAATAATACAGGTGGACTTTGACCTAGAATCCTATTTTGATCTGATAGCCGTAAGAACTATTTTTTGTAACATGCCTACAGTTTAGTTTACATGCAAGCATTTACTTACAATTGGAATAGTATTATTACATAAATAATATAAAGACTTGCAGGAAACTTTTGGAGACGTTTTATAAGGCTCTGTGGAAAGTCAGCATTGAAGGAAGATATTGGATCAGTCTTCCCAGTAGGAGCTTGTACAGTATGTAGCTGGAGCTTGTACAGTATGTAACTGTCTTGTGACTAGCAAAAGATCTTTCACTGAGCTCTTGAGGAACAATATTTAAAAGGTGTAACCTCCTATTTGTGAACCACAATTCAAAAACTTTCTCTTTTTATGTTGTCAAAGAGTTTTCATTCTCCAAGGAGTCAGTGAAGTTGTTCCTAGTTAATTACTCACAAGTAACCCCTCTGGGTTGTCCTTTCCATTGTTTTCCATGTGCCATAAACTGCAGATTTCAGGAAGAAATAAATTTAGGTGCAGCACAGTAGGAAATTTTAAAAGCCATCAGCTTCTGCATGCAGATTGTCAAGAACAATCTGCAAGGAGACTGGTTTTGGCATATAGATTTTGAGCTGAAGCAGTGCAGGAAAGGAAGTGCTACTTGCCAGCTCTCACCACCATATGCTTTGTTATAATGTAGTGCACAAAGAGTATGAAGACAGCAGCTGCTCTATAGGGAGGTGGCCACTTGTTAGATTTTGAAACCCTTCTGACATGTCTGTTCATTTTCCTTTCAGGGTTTTTTTTTCCCCTTGCTTGCGTATTTGCATTCTAAAGATGTTCACTAAAAGAAATCTATTTTTAGGCCACAGTAAGAAGAGGCGAGAGTGATCTACTTTTCATTGAAATAAAAATAATATTCGAAGGACTCTAATGTTTAGGTTTATATATTGTCAAACGTGGCTAGGCTTTTATTTTCTTGATGTCCATTCACATCAAGGCATGATGAAATCATGTATATAAATTAGCTGTGGTCTAGGATTGTATGTCCTTGATGCAGAGGAATTTTTGTCATTTATGGATTTCCGATGTGTGTTTGCTAGCTGCTTGGTCACATTCACATTTAAGCCAAGATCAACTGACTTCAGTGGTGGAGAGAACCAAAGCAGAAATGAGATTTTAGATCTAAAATGGAGAGAGTTTGATATGGTATATACACAGAGAAATCAGTCTTTCCTAACATCACTACCCAGGCAGTGAAGCTGATTACTTCATTTCTTTGAGAGACCTGTAATTCTTAGCATGTTTCAGGAGCTGTATGCCTACAATGTCATGAAAATGAACCTTACTTATTTAAACACAACTATTCTCACGGGTATTTTTTTTGCTTCTGAGGTCTTCAGATCCACTGAACAAACCTTCCAGATACATATAACTACACGCACTGGGGTTTTAAATTAGGGATTCTTAAGTGAATTTGAGAATCCAGAGGGAAGTTACATCACAGCTTAATGGGATTAGAGCAGAGCAAGTTGCTATAGCATATAATAAAATTAATATATCATATTATCATTTTTGCTGAGTGTCAGTGTTTTACACTGACCCCAGAGTGACACTAAATGTCATAGCAACATAAATGTGCCGCATAAAACTCATTAAAAATTACAGTTCATACAGAAGAAAGATGTTGCAATTCTTTTTGGAAGGATAAATCTCTTTGAGGCAGATTTTTTTGGTTGTTATGTATTGCTCACCATAGATGCATCTCTCTGACAAAGAAGTGACATTAATCTCTCACCAGATATTTATTTTTCTGGTGATGGAAAGATGATTTTTATGGAAAAATCTGTGTTTGTTTTCTTGTTTCAGTTCTATACCCGTCTACTATTATATATCTAACCTTCATTTTTTTAAGCCAGCTGCAACTGGTGGTTATCTGGAATACTTACTAATACATATTTCTATTTTTATGGCTATACTTGTTGCAAGAATTCAAATCAAAGTAGGATTACTGGTTAGCAACTTCGCCGGAATCCCATTTCTGAAGCAGACTGGATTTTGAAGTCTGTAGTGAAATTAAACACAGATTCTGACTATAGTCCTGCAGTCCTAATTCTGCAAAATGTGAGGCAAAAGCTTAAGTCCCATTGAAAATGATGATTCACAGTTGTGTCTTGAGTCAAATCGAAGTCTGCTTTCAATGCAAATTAAAGTTGTGGAAGGACCTCTTTTGGTTCCTGTAATTGTAGTTTAGTGGAATTGTGGAGTGTGTCTTTTTTTTTGTTTACATTTTGATTGAGAAAGTAACACCCTCCTCTCCCTAGGACTGAGAATTGTCAGGAGTTGCAAAATGTTTAGCCTTCTGCTTTTTTTCTAATGTGTAAAGTATTTCTTGTCTGAAGCAGCAGACTGAAGTACAGCAATTCTAGAATCAGCTACTTTTAGATGTAGAACTATTATTTCATAGATTGGTGGAAATAGCTTTTTCGCTGACGTCTGATGTTATGATTAGATGCAGATTTATTGTTATATAAAAGATGTCTGGCAGAAAAAAAAAATCTTTCTTTAACTCACCACTTACCATTACAACCATGAAAATCAGCAAAACAATATCGTTCTAAGCAAGTGAGAAGAGGAAATCCCCTGTTTGTGACAAATGCAACTGAATTCTTGTGGAGCTTAAAGTTATTTTATTTTTCATGAGGGATTGCCTAACCATCACAAGCTATTCAACTGCCAATAGCTGCTTGAAAAGGAAAGAAAAGAAATACAAGAGACCAAATGCAGCTATTTGTCTAGGGACATTTTTCTCATTGTGAGAATATCTGCCTGAAATCTGTTCTGGCTCTATGGATTTTTTGCTAGCTTTTAAAAATTGGGAGACACATGACTGCACATTTAGAGTTTCAGTGTGCACTGGAACTTTGTTATTAATTGTTCACAAGGCATTGTGTGCTGTTGTCATTAGAGAAATTCTTATCTCATCTTTTCTCCTCTTCAGCCACCAGAAAAAGAGGGTGGCCTGCCTCGCCAGGTGGGCAATAAGACCGAGTGTGGCCTCTTGGGATTTGTCCTGGATTTGAAGCAGGATTATGAGCCTGTCCGGAACCTCATCCCGGAGGAGAAGCTGTATAAAGTTTACACATTCAACTCCGTGAGAAAGTCGATGAGTACCGTCATTAAAATGCCAGATGGTAGTTTCCGAATGTACAGCAAAGGAGCTTCTGAAATTGTTCTGAAGAAGTAAGTTCAGTGGATTAGTTGCCATGTTTTTCCAAAATGCAAAACTTCCTGACACTAGTAAGACCTAGGTGGAATTTCTGTATTTGGTATTTGCTACTTACAACAGAATTATGACATGTTTCAGTAGTATAAGCTCTTCTTGTTTTCTAATTTTTTTTTTTTTTTTTAAGTGCTCACTCTTGCAAAAAAATTTTTTTTTTTTTTTTTTTTCCATTGGCTAGCCAAGAGTTGGGTCTGCAGTCAGTAATTTAGAAATGAAAGTTTAGAAATGGATTCTTTACTTTCAACCCATTTGGAAAATAAGGATTTTTCAATTTCATTTTAAGTTGTCAGCTCACTAATTACATGGGTATTGAGGAAAAAAATGTATGAAGGGCTTTTGGTGTCTCTGTTATAAATTAAAACCAAATTCTCTCTGGTATTTCTGTAGTGAATCTTCTTGTTTAATCTAGAAATTTGCACTAGAAATTTAAAGCTTGCCATTAAAAGATGGAAAGTGTTGAGTGATACAAATTTATACGAAGAACTTTATAGTTTTATGCTTTTCAGCAGTCATACAAATATACATTCAAACTTTTTTTAATCCCCTTCAAATAAAAAAGATGTTCCAGGATCCTTAATGCAGCTGGTGAACCTCGGATCTTCAGACCACGTGACCGAGACGAAATGGTGAAGAAAGTGATTGAACCTATGGCCTGTGATGGACTGAGAACCATCTGTGTTGCTTTCCGAGACTTCAACAGCAGCCCAGAGCCTGACTGGGACAATGAGAACGACATATTATCTGACCTGACTTGCATTTGTGTTGTTGGCATTGAAGACCCAGTAAGGCCAGAGGTATATCCAGTTCCTACGCTATAAAGCATTTCTCAGAGTGCTGAACATAAACTGAGCTACAGGTTGATTGCAGTTTTTATCTTTATTTTTTTAGTTAGCTCTGCTGAGATGGAAGTGAGCTTTAGAAAGAAACATTACTTGAGAAATAATCTGATAAAAATAAACTATTAATCAACCAGTATTTAAATGAAACAAACTAGGGCTTTTTGAACTACAGGGTTGAAATGACTTAACCTTCTCTCAAGTAGTAGGATACAGGAGGATCAGCAGAAGCTTTTTAGGCTCCCAGATATTAAAGAATCTTCCTTTAAGTAATGTGGTGATCTGCAGCTCTGAAAGCAGAGTAAAGACGTGCAGTGGTTGCAATTGCACTCCAGTGGGCTCACTTTGCACAGAAATTGCACACAGTACTGGACTTCCGTGTTTTACTCTAACAATTGCCACTTTACCAATTGTCTTAAGATTGTACCTGGTGGTTACTCAGGAGAACTTTTCTTCATGTATTTGGACAAGGAAAAGTTTTGCCATAGGGAGGCTGAAGTTTGCATGGATATGATACATAAATGGCTTGTAAATACCATGACTAAAATTTCAACTCAAACTGAGAAAATTAGTACTGGGTACCACTCTTTGTCTTTTTTATTCTTCTGGCTCATGTAACATTTTCTTCTGTATCATTTTACATTTTTGCTGCATCTTTTTTTAATCACATCTAAAGCTTTGTATTTGATCCACTGAGAATTGATGGCAATGCAATACATATTAGGAATTTTTTTTTTTTTTTTTTTACTAAATCATCAAAAGTATAAATTAATCTGGTTTATTTCCCCAAGATATAAAGCAGGGTTTTACATACTTCTGACTATTATTACTTTGGAAATTAGTATGATATAATTACAACTACAGGTAGCAAATGCATAACGCATGTTGCGTGATATTGGACTTGTTTTTTTTTCAGTATCAAGAAGGTTATAATATAAAGTAGATCTTGCTTAGGCAAAACCTGTATGATAAACTCCTTATCTCCACAATCATCAGATAAACAGCAGTCACTTGTTCTGTCATCAGATGATCTCTTGCTGCTAATCCATCTGCCCCTACACCTGACATCGCAAGTCTTAAAAAATGTTTGGAAATGTTCTTAAAATATTCTGTCTGCAAGGATCCTATAATGCTCTAATTCATACGTATGTATGTGTATGTATATGTATGATCTCAGAAAATTTCTAAGTGCCATTGAGCACTAGAATGATGAGTCCTTCCACTTTTCCTCCAAAGCTGATTAATGTTATGTGTTATTAGAATGTAGCTTTAAGTCAGGTTATGTGTGGTATGGCAGACTGAGGGAATGGGTAACAGTGGGATTTGCAGTTATTATGGAAAATAGCTGCAAACTATCCTTTCATGTCATTATTATGAGTGTGTTTTATAAGAGAACTACTCCCATCTTGTAGGGAATAAATTCTTAGGAGCTTGAGGTAAAAATGAGAAGTGTTCCTAAAAATGAAGAGGCCAAGTCTGACTTCTGTGTAAAGGATCAAAGAAGATGAAGGCAGGAAAATATTTTATTTCTAGACAGATATTTGAATAATGTGTTGAATTTCTTGTAGTTTAGAACCAGAATACATAGTAACACTTCTTACTTCATTGCAAGACTCAACAAAATGTTTAGAGTTCCTGAATTTTACCATGTTGTACAGTTGTTTTTTGGAACTTTCCTTTCTGCCTTTTTTTTTTTTTTTCTTTTTTTTTGTTTAAATCCTCCCTGTCCCTTTTGACTGTTTTGAAGTGGCAGTAACATCATGAGAACATTTAAAACAATGTTTAAATTCTTACTACTCTACACATTGGGTAAAAAAAGTAGCAGTAGGTTAAGAAAAATAAATGAACTAAAAAACCCCAAGCCAGAACAAACCCATAAATTTCAGAAAAAATGCCTATGTATGGAATATCTGACTTTGTGGGAATATTATTATATACGTATATTAAAGTGGTAAAATCGCCATTGTAGATGCCAAGAGTAAGATGTTGAACTGTTGTAAGGAATCTTGCTACTTTGCCAGAATTAGGCCCCCTTATTATAGTCACTTCTGCAGGTTATGAATTTTCAAAGTGCTCTCTGTAGGGACAAAAAGGACATGAAAGTTAGAAATATTATTACAGCTACTGTTTTATTAATATTCTCAGTATTCATGGATATCAGAACTTATTCTGACAGAAATGATAAATGAGGTAAATGCAAGGAAACAATCCAATATCACCATCTTGGCAGCCTTTAGTTTTCCTTAAATTCCCTTCTCATTTTTCCTGGGAAGGCTCAGTTTTTCCCTTTTCCCAAAGGTGACTGTGGGAGATAACCCATGCAGAGTGCTCCAGCTGATCTGATGATGTTGGCTGCTTTTTTTATTGCACTTTGCATTTCCTTCTGTCCATTAAAGAGAACAATTTGGATGAATTATTCAACAATGATATCCAGCAACTGCCCCCCTTTATCTGGAGCATAACCACTGGACACCCATGGCTTTTGCATAATTCCTGGGTTAATTCAGACATCAGCTTATTCGTTATTACTGAAGTAGCTTCTTGATATTTATCTTTGTGTGGGTGGTTTTTGGTTTTAGTTTTGGTTTTATGTGTTTTTTTTTTTGTTTTGTTTTTTTTTTTTTCTTATAAATATACAAGAAGAAAACAAATAGAATGATGTCTTGCTCCCGCAGAGATTTCTCTGTTGATTTTTAACAGTCTTTCTGGATTGATTTTAATGAGTCTGTACTGGCTTATACTGATTTGCCAATGCACGCCTACAATCTGTTATTTCTGGGAGAAGAACATAAATCACTTCCAAATGTCACTTTTTTAATTGTCACCTGATTCTGATAGATATTCCTGCATTGGATAATTTATGCGTGCATGCATGCATTAAGAGGTTTACTTTGCAGAGAGAAAATAAAACCAGAAGATTTAAAAATGTGTACTTAAGCTCTGCAAAACTGATGGAAAATATCTGCCTCCACTGCCTTACAGCAATAAAAAAATATTAACAATATTTTAACTGTAATTACTGTACACAGTATTAAATCAGATACCACCCACCAGCTGTCCAAAAAATAAGAGAAGAGGAAAATAGAATTATTTCTTTAGTTGTATGTGAGATGTATTTGAAACTAGGTTGTCCTCCCATGACCTTGTTTAATAGGACTAGCACTTTATGTGAATAGAACTTTTTTTCCCTGTTTGCTCTGTAATTTATTTTTCTCCTTCATGGTTCATACACTGTGCTGGTTTTACAGATAGTCATCTAAATCTGCCATAACCTATGCATGAGGGTCACTGCAGTAAAGTGGATGTTAAGGGCATTCCAAATTGGCAAATGGGATACAGACAGAATTATTAATGTGGAAACTGGGTAAATCAGGAGTCATTTGCTTAAGTAATATCTTTAATCTGATTGTATGTCCCCTGTAGAAGTCTATTTCATAATGTTAAAAGGCTTCAGGCTCAGTGTTTCCAGGGTACAACTTGTGGGAAGAATATTCTCAGTTAGTAGAGAAGAGAAATCTGGAAGATAAACCTCTGTCTCTTCATTTTTCTCATTGTTCTGTAATCTGTATTGACAAAGTCATTCTGCAAACCGCCCATTCTGTGGACGTGGTCTGAGGAGGAGTGATGTTCTTCCTTGTCTTGGGAGAACTACGGGCCTGATCCTCAATTAGGTGTTAGTTTGGTGAGGCATTTTGGAAAAGAGAAGCTTCACAACCGTGTTTAATAAAGATGCAGAAGCATGGTGTGAAATTGTGTTCACTGATGAGAATAATTATCTGCAGTATGGTTTAAGGGTGGATAATTTCAGTCTGACGTGCAGCCTGAGATGCGGAGCCTTTCTGGCCCCATGAAATCATTAGAAGCCCAGCATTTGCCACACTGGATCACAGCCGTGGCTGTCATGTAAAAGGCAATGTTCTGCCCTCAGCAGTGTCACATACTCGCTGCTATAGAGGAAATTAAAATGTCTGGAAATGCACAAAATTAACAGGGTGATGTTGTAGGCAGTGGCTCCTCTTTTAGATATTTTCTGTACTAATGGATGAGATTAAGCCACTTTAATTGGCATTGAGTTCTACAGTACACTTTGTTTTGTTATTTGTTTTAGAGATGATGATCAGCAAGCTGCACTGAACTGGCAGTAGAATATAGCAAGGCTTTGTTATTGTAGCCAGTCATACCCATTTTGATACCCTTTGTTAGGTATTTCTATATCTTAATTATGACATAATTAAATTATTTTTAATTATGACATAGTTTAAGGGAATCAAATTTTTTCTGTTTCTGAAAACAAGCTTATAGATATGTAACCTTTCTATAGGCACTGACTTCATATTCCCAAGTAGCCAAATTAAAAACTTTATTTAATTATTAGGAATCAATTTTCTAGCTCTCCTATATTTTGAGTATAAAAAATCTTTTTTTAAAAAAAAACCCTACTGTATATGATGCCAAGTCAGTATATAGCTTCTACAGTAATCTCACGGACCTTGTTGTGCACTGAATTCTCTCTCATTGATGTAAACTGTGCAGTGGGAAAAGTTGATCTCGTGCAGAGAGGAGCATAGCTTGAAATCGTGCTTCATTTTTACACTTTTGAAATATCTAAATTATTCATTAAATTTTTAACATGTATATTTAGTAATTCCACCTGCTGATATACATGAATTGGTGTAGTAGTGCTAAATTGCAGTAACTTTTTGGACAATGTTATTGAAAGGAAAGTTTGGTACAAACGTGAGATAATTTTCTGTACAAAATATAACTATTCTCAGTTCATATTTACATGCATGTGGAGCATGTTAGGTTCAGCATGCTGTACCTGGATGCTGAAGGTCAAAAAGACTGCAGAGCACTCATTCAAGTCAGGAGAAGCTTTAGACAACTGATGAAAAAACAGATTTTGTGATTCCTGATACAAGATCTGTCTTGCTTGTGGTGCAACCTCAATTCAGTAATCGTCAGGTGGCTGTGGTGTTCCACACATTACATGTATGATTTCTCTTTTTGCCTCATGAATCTCTTAGCCTCAGAATATTCTGATTTGTAACAGCTGACTTACGTTTTGTCTCTTATCTAGAAATTCTTTCCTGTTCTCTTTCCTTTGTTAGGTCCCAGAAGCCATAAGAAAGTGCCAGCGAGCCGGAATTACAGTCCGCATGGTCACTGGAGACAACATCAACACAGCACGTGCCATTGCCATAAAATGCGGAATCATTCATCCAGGAGAAGACTTTCTCTGCCTTGAAGGGAAGGAGTTTAACAGAAGGATCCGAAATGAGAAGGGAGAGGTAATTCATATGTTAAGTCCATACATATTAGGAATATATTATTAACAAAGTGAGACCACTGAAATGTTATGTCTCCTGTACTGTGTCACTCCTATCAGAGATATTGCTACTTCTTTCTACCACTAGCCTTTTGCCATCCTAGATCCCAGTAAGATGCAGTCTTTGCTTTTCATGGTGCAGAACCACTATCAGTTTAATGCCAGCCTAATTCAGCAGTTTTTAGAACCGTAGCACCAGTCCACAAGAAATCAAACCAAGCAGGTTTGTTAGCAGAGAGAAGGAACTCAAGAGCAGTTTGAAAGTCAGTCTCAGAAATGCAAACTCTGCTGAGAACCAGCTCCCTTCATTTCTTTATCTAATGCTATAGCCACTCTAATGATTTGCATAACTTAATCTATTCTTCAGAAGATTTTTAACTCTTCAGAAAACATGGAGCTAACACACGGGCTGTTGAAGTCAGTTTTAAAAAAATAAACTCTATGCTGTCTCTTTGAGTCATCATTATTAAATGGGCACAGTCGTTTACTTCTTGCACTGGTTGATGGAACCCTGGGAACATTAGTTTATGAGGTGGATTTGTCCTTGTTGCTGTTGGGGTACAGAGAAAATTCTGCCACTGTTGGTGCCAGAATGAAGTGAAAAACTTGGATTCATATAGAAGGTAGAACAACAGACTTCTACTTGTAAACATGTTTGATCAGCTTTGAGAAACTCTGCTATCCTGTATCTAGAGTCATGATTCTGAGTGAAATTACCTGTAAAGATGATAAGAAAGACTGATTAGATACTGTGGCAAAATTTACCTGCGTTAGCCAAGAGCTGAGCTTTGTAGTAGAAAATTGCCTTTTTGGACCTTGCCTTTGCTTGCAGCATTGGTGGCTGTTGTAATTTTCCTGCACTTTTGAAGAGAAGCTGCAGATCTGAGCAGTGAAATGAATCCTCTGGTACACGGACACAAATACGTTTTGCAGTGTGCTAACAGTTTTACTGGTGTTTTTTTTTTGTTTCCCCCGCCCTGCAGATTGAGCAAGAGCGGATTGACAAGATCTGGCCAAAGCTTCGAGTGCTTGCTCGCTCTTCTCCCACGGACAAACACACCTTGGTAAAAGGTGCGTGCGGGTGCTTTCACACGCGTGTGGCAATCAGTGCCAAAGTTATTGAAGTATGCTCAGCACATCATCTGCAATGCCAAAAATCTTGACTGTTACAAATCTATCTCAGTTGTTACCTTACATTGTATATCTGAACATAATGCATGGCAGTTTTCTCAGTAAGCTGATCTAGAGTGAATTAAGTCACTCAAGTGTATCTGTTCTCTCACAATTATCTTCAAAGAGTATTCTGAGATACAAACCTTTTATTTAACTTTTTAATATGTTACAGTAGTGGTTATAGGAGGTGGTGTAACTAGAAGTTGTCCTCTTTAGTATGGATCTCATGAATGGAGATCCATACTTCAAGCCAGTTCCATTTTCCTATAGGCTCACTTATTTTATGATTTGCATTGGCTTCCTTTAGATTTCTGGATGTATTATTAATGTCTGTTTTTGTCCTATAAAAGCTGCACCATACAAGTCATATTCTGTTACCATACTGTCTGCAGATGGAATACTCTAGAAAAAGAGGGATTTTTTTCAGTTTTCTTTATAAAGCCTTTTTCATATCTCTAACTCACTCTTCTTGATCACTGGAGAACTTATTCTATTGACTTTGAAGCTCACACTTTAAAGATGGCTGATGAAGTAAGAACATTTCTGTTCAGGAATAACATAATTTCTGGCCACGATAAAATGAGGGCCAGTGCATGTGAAAACCTTGTCAGTGGATGGCTGTGTTTGCTGGCTTTTTGATAAAAAAAAAAGAACTGGATTGTTTTTCTAAGGCCCTAGAAAGTCTGGGGAGACCCTTCTTAGCAGTTCTTGGAGGAGCTAACGTTTGGAATGACATCCAGCTGATCATGTTTTCAGCTAGTTGGCTACTTAAATGATAATTCACATTTAGATAGGAAATAATTTTTTGGATCTATCCTTTGGGTATGGCAAGCTTTTCTTGATATGACTCCATACCTGACTGATTTAAAAGGCTTTTGAGTAGTACATAACTTTTAGAAATGCATGTTACTTTGGAGGAAACGTTCCACTGTGAATGTGAAGATGGGATCAGTTGGGTGCTTTGGGATTGGGAGCAGTGTACGTGAAGTGGTCTGGAAGCATGGATCATTCAGGAGAACACAGATCTCTTATAAGCTCTGGAATGGTGCACAAGGTGGGGAAGCTGGAGATACACTGCTCTTACCCTCTCCAGCCTCTGTTCAGACCAGTGATTCCAAAGTGGGGGTGGACTTGTGTTGGGGACGGTCCATTGGGTTGCCAGAAGAAAGTATTTTCTACCATTATTAAATAGGAAAATATTGTGAAAGTACTGTTTATTTCCCTTCTAGCTCATCCTTTTCTAACATGTTTTGTGATGTACATAATATTACGTATGTGTAGCTTATAAATAATATATGTATTTTGGGACAGTGTGCTCAGAAATATTTTCCCAATAGATACTCATGATTGAAAAGGTTTGCAGAACATTTGGCAACATAATTATTAGCTCCACAGGTGAGTATTAGAACAGCACAAAGTTAGCTGAAATCGCCTCACTTCCCTAGTGCATATAAAAGACTGTCTTACAACTTTTAGGGGACGTGCCTAATAATAGTTTATTTGTTTCAGAAACACACAACAATTTGTGTTTCACTGAGTGGGTTAAATGAGTCTCGTGGGAGTACTCATTTCAATCATTCAGGAGTTTCCCTGAAGAGAAAAGTAGAACCTTTGCCAGAGAAGATGAAATCAATAAAGGGCTGAAGAAAAAAAAAAGCAACGCATTGTAGTTTTATAGCACATGCACTTTGACAGTCCACAAGATATTTACTACTACTGAATGCCATATGCAACTAATACAATTAATATTTTAAACATGTGACAAGGTCAAATGATAGAGCAATTAATTATCTAACAGTTCAAAAACAAGTCTGTGGAAAACCATGGTCAAATTTTTTAGCTGATAATACTCGAAGGGCCATTAAAAGTTACAAGAAACTATTTAAATGTTCACTAGTTTTGGGCCTCTTGTTAAAATGTTATGTTTTTCTCAGACACTTGAGGGATCAAGAGGATTTTCTCTTCTTTGATGTATTATATCTGCTCTGGGGTAAAACTACGCATCACAAAATAAACTTTTTTTACGTTTAATTTTTAATGACACACAGCTGCTGGAGGGAGTATTTTTTCTCCTTCACAGAGCACAATCCCACCCAGCAAAAGGATCATTTTTATTTTGCATTTTTGTTTCTACTACTGCTAAGGGACTGGAGAAAGGCATGGTACAGCCTTTCGGGCTGGGCAGACAGTTTCTTTCAAGTATTTATGGCTTTGAAGTAGATGTAGACTGAAAAAAAAGAGTCAAAATGTTTTATCATCATGAACTCTTTCAATAAAACAAAAATGTTCGATAACTCAGTTCAAGTGAAATAGTTTCTCATGGATTTTATGATGTCCATTGGTATTTTTTAATATTTTTACCCTATTTCAAAATATAACAAGTAAAAATGCCCATCATTTATACTGATGTGTTCTTATAATACTATTGCTGAAATGCTTTAATATTGTCATATTGGTTTTTTCAAATACTATGGGAAGCAACTGTTTAGTACTGATGAGAAACATCATCTTCTTATCAGAAGTTATAGAAAAGACCAAATAAATGTTCAGTTTACCAGTTAAAGAAGCTCTGCTTTGCAATGTGTTTAAATTAGGCTGGACTTATTTTTCTGTAGTATTAAAAACAGCTATTCTATTCTCATGTAAGGCTCTTTTGTTAACAAGCAGAAAGGAAACTTTAGAGAAGAAAAGATTTTTAATAATTATCCTTGAATACTAAAATATTTACATATTATACCCTGGGATGGTATTATATTCAGGACCTCATTAATTTGGACATACTGTGAGACTAGGTAGAAGAAGGAAAATATGGAAAGGTGTCTTAATTGAAATTCTGAAATTAAATGTCAGCATGTTGTAAATTGCAAGTGGTTTTGATTGCCTTTTGAGAGAAAATGTTAATATTTATTTTGACTGAAATTCACATGAAGATATATTCAGGAAGTTGACCCGTTCCACAGTGTAAAAAGTCAGCTTCCCCCAACTCTTCCCTGAAGCACAGGTCATAAAAATAGCTTAAAGGGAGCAGGAGGTATTCTGCCTTTGAATCGAGAGTTTTATACTCTGCAAGTACCATTCAGGTCTCTGTAGTCTCTGTTATGTGTAACGTTGTCGGAGGCACCAATGCCTTCAGGGGCCCCCTTTAATCTTATGATATTAAGCACATTGGTGGTGCATGTTTAGTACAGACATCCCTGCATTTTAACCGTGTTCCTCTCTGCCATTACTGTGTCATGAAGTTTGTGGAGCACTATTCATTTAATAATTGGCAGTGCTGTCTGCAAGGTTATATAGAACAGTTTTACATTAACCTTTAAAGCTCTATTCCTTCACATACTTAATCATATAACTAAAGTAAATTTACATTTTCTCTTCCAGACCCACTTTCTACATTCTTTTTAAATTAACAGGGAGCCTCAAAAAATTTGGAAGTATTAAAAAGTAATCTGAACAGAATGTGTCTATGAAAATAAATTATTGTATCTGCCTATATTTAGCTTGTAGAAGTAATATAAGTACGTGCAAGCATATGGGATGATCAGCTTTCCTGCACCGGTGGTGCCTGAACTGGTGTGCATCTTTGAAATGCTCTACTAGAGCTGGATTTTGCCTCTCTGCCTGGTTTGGGTTAATCAGTTGAGGCAGACAGAAATTTCTAAATCAAGCTCTTTGTGAAACAAAGGGCAGACACATTGTTGCTTGATATTCTTTATATTATATTTCTTCATTATCATCCTGAGTGAATTTGATTTAAAGCTTACTTAATGTTCATTGATAGGAAGGTGGAAAATACAGGGTATATTTCACTTTCGAGGCGCTGCAGTTTCTGTAGCAAGCTTGTGCCTGTGGTGCCCTTCTCGATAGCTGTACATAGTTAGTTTAAATATGATCCTTTCCCTGCTCAGAAACAAGCTGCTTTCTCTGAAAAATTTAGGTCTTAATCAAACTACATAACTCCTCCCCAGATTCCTACAGCATCAGTGGAATCCTTGTGTGGAACACACTGTGATGTTGTGCTCTATGTGTATTCCTGTGGCTATTGAATAAAATTGTTTTTGAGAGAGGAAAGTTGCAGCCAAACAGCTTAAGATAAGGGAGCAGACCAAGGAAACAGCAAAGACTTGTGGGAGGAAGCTTTGCTGAGTTTTAGGAATTCCCCTGCTATACTTCACAGACCTGTTTTTATTAAAATACTATATGTAATCGTTCAACTAGAGTAAGCAGTTTATTTTGAAGGAATTTCCTGGCTGTTAGATACAACTAATGAATACCAAAAGCTTCTTTCTGACTGTTTAGAATGAGTGGAAAGGCCAGTGAATGTGGAAGAAATGGGCATTCTCTGTACTGGCAGTCTGTCAGGTCGTGCCCTTATTTAAGTTTTCGCTGATCACTGATGCAGTTCTCCCCAGCTCAAGATTGCAGAGGGAGAACCTTCCTAGGAATCCTTCTTCTGTTTGGTCTCTTTACACTGTCTGTGAAATCTGTACAGACACAGATACTTGTCTGTATATGTGGTTAGGAAGGAGGGAAGGACTGGAAAAGAAGGCAAACATTCAGAAGTGTGAAGAAGGGGAGAGGAGGAATGGATAAAAAGGAGCATGCAGAAGTCAGGGAGCATAATAGTTTGCTTTCAGGGATAAAAATTACTAGTAAACTTTGTGAACAGCTACTAAAGCTTGTAGGTTAGTTAGCTGAATCCAGAGGCTGGATGGTGCAGGGCTGCTGGTAGCATAGAGCACTGTATCTGTTAAAGCCTCTTGGCTGGGGTTGTGGTCCCACTTGGAGTCCCATTGTGAGGTGATGCTGTCTACCTGTTTGGAACAGTTAATACTGTGGTGTGTCAGAGATTTTAATTTTTTTTTGGTCAGAAGCTTAAACTATTAATTGAACATGAAATGATGCATTAATAGCAAGAAAGGAAGACTGAGATAATTGCTTTTAACAGTAAATGGCACCTGATGTTCCTGTTTGGTTTAGTAATACCAAAACCAAATCACCCCAACAAATTGAAAGCTCTAATTATAAGATCATACCAGAATAATGTGCCATTTATCTGAGCTCATACTGGCAATGGAAAGTGAATAGTGGTTTTTTTCCTGATTTTCATACAACTGAAAAATACAGGACACTAACTGCTTCCATACTGCATTGCAATCTTCTGGGTGCCTGATAAGCCTGAACCTTGCCAAGAGGCAGCCATTGCCTCATAATTTGCAATTTCCTATTTCTGGTTAGGTATCTGATATGTGAGTTGTTTTTTTCCAGAGTAAAATGAAAGCTTTTCACACTGGGTAGTTTTGGATAATTGTTTTTAGAGGTTATGACTTTGTGCAAAATGTGTTAGCAAAAGGAATTCTGTCATTTTTCATCCCCAAGTTGTTATGAAGAGGTGTTCTTGCATCCTACACAACGAACCTGTATTCTGGACTCATATTCAGATGGACTCTGACATGGAAATAAAAACATGAATGGTGAATGATCCCCATCTTATTAAAAACCACAGCTGCTTCTATAACCTTATTTATTCTTTACTTTCTCCATCTGCCTAAGAGGAAAATACTTCTCTGCAGGCTAGTTGTGTGAAACTTGATTCAGCAAGTGAAAAGTGCTTTCTTATGATCTCAGAATGAAAGCAGAAATTAATTTATTGTGTCTATTTATTTGAAATGCTTGGCTCCAGAATTTGAAGAATTCTTTTATCTCTTCTTAATTGTTTGGCAGAATTGAACATGTCTGTTGAAATGCTAATTTGGCTCTAGCTAAATAAAATTCATCACCAATAGCTTTTGTTATCTTTAGGTTAAATTGATTGCCAGGAGGGATCCCAGCAAAGCAGATGTTGTAGTTCAGTCCGTTTTAGGAGAGCTTCAAGCATGAACTTAAGTCTTTGGCAAATCCTTTCTGTTGATGTTTAATCAGAGACCCGGGCTGAAACAGGTTTACTTTGAATTAGTCCAGAAGGACATAATGAGTTGATCTCATTCCCTTTGAAGTCTTTGCAAGTTTTGTTGATGTTTTGATGATGCAGGATCAGAACTTTCCATGTAAATTCTAGTAGTGTATAGTAGTGATGACAAGACATTCATCATTATTTTCCTTAAAAGTCAACTCTATTTATCTATGTAAGACTTGGGTGATATTATGTAGTCTATATTGCACAGACCCTGCTATTTTTCTTAGAAGAAAGTTTAATTTTGTTAATTATTTTATATAATAAATACACAAACGTATACACTTTTTTGCAGGTATCATTGACAGCACGCAGGTGGAACAGAGGCAGGTTGTAGCTGTGACTGGTGATGGAACCAACGATGGACCAGCACTGAAAAAAGCAGATGTTGGCTTTGCAATGGTACAATCTTGAGGAGATTTATTGATGTTTGTGTCATTATAAATTTGCTTTAAGAGATTTTTCATTCATTAAGTGCTGAGAAAGTTGCTTAGTTATTACATGTCAGTGAAGCAACACATTGGAGGGAGTGAGTTATGTTCCTCCAGTATTCTTTAACTGACTGTTTTAGATTCTCTGGTATTGCTTGTTTTGATATTCTTTCAATATTTTGTCTAAGGTGGTTATTGGCTATATGCAGAACCCTGTATGAATACAGGAAAATGAACTCTTTTTTACAACATTGAGTACTATTTTGCTTTGGTAAAATCCGTCACTGATTGTAAAGATGTCTTCCCAGCTTTCTGACTCTGGAGACATCAACATACTAGACTATATATTAAGATACGTAGTTCTAATTTTTGTTAGCAATTCTATTCATGTACATTAATAAAATATCATCAACGATAAAAATAACTCAGAAGATCTGTAGTCATTAAGCTGATAATTTAGAGCACTCAAAACCATCATCACAAGACTTCCACTGCTCTCTATCAATTCCCTTTTCTGCATCCTTATTCACTTTCAAAAATAGGCCATATTGGCTAACTTCTGAGCAAATATAAAAGGCAGAATCTGCTCTCACTTGCAGTCACTGTTACTATGCTGGGAAATCTCTATATGCCTGTTGAAGGAGTATGAAGATTTTCTATTCTGTCTCTGTACTTTCTAGTAGGTAATTTTATTCACAACCCATTTTTCCAGGGTATTGCTGGGACGGACGTTGCGAAGGAAGCCTCAGATATCATCCTGACAGACGACAACTTCAGCAGCATTGTGAAGGCTGTCATGTGGGGACGGAATGTCTATGACAGTATCTCCAAGTTCCTGCAGTTCCAGCTCACCGTTAACATCGTGGCTGTGATTGTGGCTTTCACTGGAGCATGCATTACCCAGGTAAGGGCAACTTCAGGGGTTGCCTAAAATATGGGGCCAAATCCTGCCCACCTACATTTTCTTTGAAGTAATGGTGCCTTATGTTTGCTTCTTACTTTATGCAGCACTAAGTATGCTTTCTGAAATTCTTCTGAGGGTTAACGAGGGTATTTAGGATCAAGATGCTAAATGTTAAATAGCTACTGACGTAAGGAAGTGTACTAACTAATCTTCTTCTGGAAGTAAATTGCTTTGAGGAGCTGCTAATTTTTGTGCTGCTTCCATACAGCTCCCATTTTTTGATTATATACTATTGTCGTGACCAAGAACATGTTGTCATGGTAGAACAGAAGATGGCAGGAACTGGGAGAAGGAGGAGTTTATGTGACTTTGCCTTTTCCTCTCAGAATACTTCACTATTAAATATGTATTTCTTGATGGATTATGGAATGGGATTATTATTTTCAGGAGAGCGGCACTGGCACACAGAAGTAATCACAGCAGGGGAGCTTTGTCACTGATAAAGTTATTTTGTTGATTTCAAGCAATTCCTTTTAATTTCACATGCAAATGACAAACCGAGTAAATGACACATACATCTCTTTTTCTCCTCCGTTAATCCCTCGTTGCAATCCTGGTGTATGAGCAACATGTCTAGGTCTTGTACAAAAAGCATGTGTGAGAGGAAACCACATATTTTTGCCTTCAAATTATGACTTTTTGATTAATTAAATTGTTTTTGTTTCCCTAGAAAGGAAGGATGTATTTAGTATAGAGTATGAAGGTTTTGTCCATCATGCCTTCATATCAAAACATGCTGGTTTTAGTGCTCTCACTGCCTAAAATAAAGTATATTTCAGATGCTGCAGACAGGTGCTGTTACAAAACACCTCCTGAGACAGAGGCACACTGTGGGAAAGCTGATGCTTCTCTCTTGTGCATCATATGGATGCACATCCCTGTCTCAGCAGGTGAATTTCACCTCATGCACAGTGGAGGAAAACAATGAATAAGTCATTAGCTCTGCTCTGGGGTAAGCTTACATTGTAATCATGGAATTGATACTTGAAACCAGAAACTCAAGTATCTTCATAAAACCATGAGGTCAAACTTCTCCTAAGCCTCGACTGATATTTAGAGGCCTTTTTTTTTTGTGCTGCATGTGAGGAGTCCCCAGACTTCCAGCTTCTGCTGGCACCAGGCAACAGCTGGATAGATACAGCTGTCCTCATTTAGCTTCTCTGAGGCTGGTGCTAGGGTTGCAATTCTCAGAGAAATCAGCAGTGGCTGGTTTTGAAGCAAGTGGAAGTGATCTGTACAAGTGAAATGACAATTTTATTGTGTATAAAGGAAGCACTGAAACGTCAAGTCACTTGTTTTCCAAGAAGTAAGAATTTTGAGGTGCCTACCACGCTGTCGCCAGGTCTCGATGCTTTGTTGCCATGAGTCTGTGCTGTGGGACAAAGTTGATGTTGCAGCAGAAGCTGGATAACTTTTCCTTTTCCCTTGACTAATACTTCCAAGCATATTGAGAAAATGTTTAGCTGTGAAGTGATTGTTGCTGGTAGCAGGAGGTAAAATAAATAAGCATTAAAAATCAGGAAGGTAAATCCTCCAGGATTTTTATCAGTGGTACAAAACCATGTAGAAAAAAGTGCTAACAGCAATGTGGTAAGAATATCACATTTGGAGCTAAGGCGAGTGCTTCCTTCTAAAATGCTGTTTTATAAACATGCTATCACTGCCTACCAATATTTATCTGAACTAAATACATTTTTTTGTTAACGTTCAGCATTTTTCAATCACTTTGTAAAAGTATGAAGGGAAATGCATGTTGTTAACTATGTAATTTCTATTGTATTCTTGCAGAGGTTAAATGTTACTGCATCAGTGCAAAGACTGTTTTAAATTGAGTCAAAGTGCATGTGCATAATCAGCACAAGCATATTCTCCTTTTTAATTCTGGAGCTTTCTTCATCCTTTGGATCATTCCATTGGCTTCTAGAGGATTTGGATCAGGCCCAGTGCATTTATATTGCCCCAATGATCTGTAAGACCGTCAGTGAGCCAGTCAAGTCTCTTGTCCCTGTTTACTGGTTTTGATGCACACCTCCTAGTATTCCTGTATTCCTGTCCAAACAGATTCTTATACAATTCCTTTATTTGGCAGTAAAAGTGCCAATTCAAAGGAGAGGTCTAAAAGGAGCTAAAATTGAAATAGTAGGAAGAAGGCAGCAGCTATTTCCATTATAGTTCGGTTTACACTCACTGGCCTGACTGCTGATCATCTTGAGTAGCTCTCAGTTCTGTCTCATTCAAGAAGGATCTTCCCTTAAGAGTGAACATTATTATGTCAAAGACTCTAGCCAGTGGAAGGACATTATGTTTGTTTGGCTCCTAAGCTTCACTAAAAATTACACTTGAGAACATACTGTACTTTCTGGTTGCTATGAAAATAGCTCTAGCACAAAATGCATGAATATACCAAAAAAATCCTGCATTCAGCAGGCTCGGTGCACACACAGAGATCTAAGACTGCAAAACTGCACACAGATCTTCAATTATTGTTCTGAGTGGAACTTTTAAGTTCTTAACAAATGAAGCTAAAATCTATTGTTTCTAAGAGGCAACACAGCTTTCTGTGACCTTCAAAATGAATATAAAGGACATACATGTTGGACTGAATTTTACTTTGTTTTTAGGCAGTCAGTTTGGATTTCTTTGACTCACAGAATATAATTTCAGTCCACAATTAATATTCAGGTTAATCAATATTAGACAGGCTATCCTTTTGTTAATATTTCATCAGATCTAGAAAGAAAAATTCTGTGTTAGTAGTAGCATTTCTTTAATGCTTCTTAGTGTCACCTCTCAAAAAACCTGATCCTGCAGTTGCATGACAGTAGGTGTAAATACATTTATTTAGGAAACTACTATTTAGCTTAATTCTGTTAATTTTAAGCAAATATTATTCTATAATTCATCTACTAAATGCCTGCTTCATCAGGGTGCAGCTGTTAGAATATCTACCATATCTACTACTTCTGTCTACTTCTGTTTTGTCCTAGTTTGGTGTTTCACTAGACATTTTAACTACCTGCACAAAGTTTGTGAGCCTACGTGCTACCCCAATATTATACAAGGATTATAAAGGAGTAGCTGTGGGCTACTAAAGAAGTTATTACGCTGACTAAATGGGACCAATGCAAACAGTCATGTGCTGTTCTCTGTCATGGGTCCCAGCAAGAAGTCATGTCCAAGTAACAGAAATTACGTTCTAAGCAACATAACAGACACAGCGTCTCCTGTTGGCAAGCATAGCGTGGCTGCTGCCAAACCGAAGCTGCCCCTCAGAAATTTCAGCTGGGCTCTGTTTCAGTTTACAGCAGCTCAATGTCTAAGCCAAGAGGTCTGAATTTTCGACTAATAATGAACATTTGTGTTGTGATTCTATAATTATGTAAAGCACTCTGAGATCTAGGTCATACACGAAAACCAGGCCTAGAGAAGTCTCTGATTAAAAGCTGAATTGGGATCACTCAATCTATGGCTGCATAGGTGCTCTTAATTTTGTGTCCAGTGTGTACTTAAGACCCACCAATGAGACTACAACTATTATTTCTGCTAGTCCCTTGTCAGTGCAGTTTGTGTGGCACAATGCAGCTGAACTACACGGAATACCTTGTCTTTTAATTATCTAATTCATTTACCTCTTGATTCCTTCTGTCCAATGCACACTTTTAAAATTACCGGGTTGTGGTTATCTTGACCTGTTTGCACATGATTGTCCTTTCTCTTTAGCAACCATTACCTCAGGTTAAACCAATAATTTATTTTTCCAGTGGATTTATGAGATATAAAATCTCATAGTCTGACTTCATTCTCTGAATAACATTTTTTGATGGACTCTGTGAGAGTTCTTCTTTGGAGCTCTGCCTACAATTATTGTGAATTTTGTACTTGCAATGAGTCATTGCTCCACATCTCTAGGTGTCATATAGAGTTCTGTGCGTGCCCTGCAAAGCCAGAACGTTCATCTTGTCTCTTGTCCCTAACATGTACAGGGTACTAAGAAAATATTAGCTCATTACATTTGAAGCTGTTAAAAATAGTCTGGGTATGTACCAAATAAAAAAAATTAAGATGCAGTTCAGTCAAATGAAAACAGTTTTTTTTACTGAAACTTTGAAGCCAGCAGGTATATGTCTGTGCCAAACTTTGCCTCTAACTGTTGAGGCAATGTAACTATTCAAAAAGGTTTCGTTAAAGAAAGAGAAGACAAAGACTGTGTTTTAATGTTTTACATCCAAACTATTATTCTCTTACTTAAGAAAGACTTAATGTTTTAGCAGACATTAGGAACTGAAAACAGTGACTCTATAGAGCACCATGTTTGGAAAATTAAATGTTAATTAAAAAGCACTGCAGCAATGAACTACTGCACGAATCACGTTGTTTCTACAGATCTTGTTCAAAAAATGAGGATGATCTAGACTAACATGTATAAGGCAGCAATTTACATGGTTATAATGTTTCATTGCAGAACTATGTTTGGCAAATGCCAAAACAAGAGCACTGTTAAATTTGGTAAAGCTATAATATAAAATCAAAGTCTGTTCTGTTTAGCTGTGTTTTGGGAAGGTGTAGAACGTGAAAATAGAACTGAGGATGCCACTTCCATACAATTAACAGACAGAGTGATCTAGCAGCAGAAGCGAGGGCTGACATTTTTAACATTATGTAAACATTATGTAAAGTTAACCTCCTAGAAATGAGTATTTTTCTGAATCCATGCATGTGTTCTGTGACAAGCAGAAGTAGAGAGGTAAGGGTGAAAATACTTTATTCCCTTACAACTTGTCATCTAAATCAAAAGTAACAAGCTCTAAAGTTTGTCAGGCTCTGTATGTCACAAATGATTTGTAGTTTATTTCCAGCCTTTGGCAATTCGTACTTTTAAGTGTTTCCAGGATGAAGTGCAACATCACTTGATTTAAGGGACATTTTCCTTTTACCTCTAGGCCAATGCTAACCTATTCCAAGGTCAAGTGGAAAGAAATTTGACAAATAAGTGGTGATTTTGGGTAGTTTGCAGTTTGAACAGCTTTCATCTGCAAAGTTTTCAGAAAGTGAATTGAAATTATTAGCTGGTCACTTAGTGCCTAAAATGCAGTGAAAAGAACACTGAATTTGCATCCCACTTGCATAAGTGACTGAAATCTGTAATGGAAGACTAAGCTCCTTAGCTGATAGGTATTTTCCTCAGTTTCCATGAACTAATCAGAAATCAGTTAGAGTTGCAGTGGAAATTTCATTCCACTGCGTGCCCAGACTAATGTGTATTTAATGTTTTGGCTTCAGCTTAGAATGAGCTTTCACACTTGACTGAACAGCGCAGCACTGCCAATAATAGATAATTATTAGGGGCACCATAGCCACCCAAGGTGATTGGCAGTGTGAAATGGTGAGAACATGTTGTTGCCAAAACTGATGACTGCCAATTACAGTTGTGTGATTTAGAGACTGAAATAATCTGACTTTTCGTTTTGCTAGGAATATGTCAGGCTCTGAATATTTGACTATTTATTAAGCATAGCAGAGAAATTCAGTTTTATTGACACAAGTCAGTGCATGAAAAGGAAATTTAGCTATTGTAACATGTCAAAGTAGAGGATATTTGTCAGAAAAACTTATTAGCTACACAGGTAAAATAGGACAAGGAAAATTCTTTCCCTTTTTCTCTATATAATGGGTCCAACTCTAGGGTCACTGAGCCCTAGCAACAAACTGTTTTTAATGCATGTCTTCTGGAGTCATTAGTATTAATAAAAATAAATGAACTCTCAATTTGGAATGAAGTGTGTCCTGATTGCTTTTAGTTTTTTAGCCACCTGTAAAGACAAGGGTGTTTACTGTTTCTGCAGCTGCATATCAAATAAGTGAGCTGAACTCTTCAGATAAGCCCAGTTAATGCAACTCAGAACCAAGAGGTCAAGCGTTTATTAATGCTAATCTTCCTCCCTTCCCCGATGTAGCCAACCTATAAGACTTAGAAACAGTAGGTTTCTTTTCTCCATCCCTTTAAATAAGCCAAAAAAAAAAATAGTATTTTTTAATAAATAAAATGTATCAAAATTTGTGTAAATGTGATAAAAATAAGTTTCCAAGAGGAAATAATATTTTATCTCAGGGGAGAATTGGAATATAAACCAGATCTATAAGAGATCAAACCACTTATCCTTGTTCTACATAAGTCCTTGGGATACTGAATGGATAATGGCCCTCAATATTTTGTTAAAAATGAATGTTTAATCCTTTGAAGAAGAGGGCAGAGTTCATAAGGTATTTTTATTGGCTTTGATTTGCCTTCTGTGCTGTTCCACGAATTTCTTTGCTTCCCTACTGCAGCACCACAGTAATGTAACACATGAAAATAGTGCTTTGAGCTTCCAACTTTGGCACTGCAGATTAACTCCTTTTAAATTTGTCATTCCAATACCTTATTATTTTTGAGAACATATTTTCCTAATGCAACCTATCTAATTGAAACAGGAGCAGTCCTTAATAACGCTGCCCATTTTGTATTCAGTCTAAAAGCACAGGAGATTGGTAGATAGAAAAAAAAAGAATTTTCATTTTTTTCCTGAAGCAATTGCATTGATCATTACAGCTGCTCCAATGAATTACGAATCAAAACTTTCTAATAGTCATCTGGAGGTCTCCTGATATCTGTGTTTCGTTTGCTTTGTTTACTTTTGCTTTGGTTTTGGTTTTGTTGTTTTTATTTTAAACATTACCTCCTCTGTGATATGACCATAGACTCTTTCTTGAATTAAGTGAGGGAAGAGCTCCTTCTAGTGGTTGGCCGTCTGCTTAAGAAAATAAATACTTCATCCTGACGAGTAGTAACGCTATTTTTTTTCCTCTCCAGTTCTGTAGTTTCAAATATGCCAGCCCAGCATCCAGTAAAATAATAAAGATTTTCCTACTTTTGCACATTTTTAATAGTTTAGTGACTTTCAGGATATTGTTAAAATTCAAATATCAGGGTTTTTTTTCATCACTACTGTTTTTAAAAGGTCTCATTTAAGTAACACACATTGAAATGTCCGGTAATGGTTTAATAATTTTTTAATAATTTCAATCTGTTCCTGAAAAAATAGATAGCTTGGTTATAGTAAAAGGAAACATTTCTTTGAATTTGTTTCAGTATAATTTTTCTTCCAGTAAAGAAACTCCCACTTGTATTATCTAGTTACCTAAATTCAGCTGAAAATTTAAGCGTGCCGCATGAAGGGCCAGAGAATATTGTGAAATGTGTTATAAACTATTACTCCTATGCTTTATAGATAATGTGTGATGGTAAATATTCCTGATTTAAATGACTGGAAAGAATTTATCTTTGCTCAGATCACTGTACTCCTTGCATAAGAAATATAAGACAGGTCTTTTGTAGGTCAGAGCAAAGGTCCGTGTATTTCAGTGTCCTGTCTTTGGCACTGCTTGTGGTCACTCAGGAAGAAATGAGATCACAGTAAATGACCTGCCAACAATTTTTTCTCTAGGAAATATGTAACTTTCTAACTTATCTCCGCAGGACTCTCCTCTAAAAGCTGTCCAGATGTTGTGGGTCAATCTGATTATGGACACCTTTGCCTCACTTGCTTTGGCCACCGAACCTCCAACAGAGGCTCTATTGCTCAGAAAGCCATATGGCAGGAACAAACCTCTTATATCCCGCACCATGATGAAGAACATCCTGGGCCATGCTGTTTACCAGCTTACGCTCATATTCACACTTCTTTTTGTCGGTAAGAACATTTGTTAGGCTTGTTGCTTAGTTTAGAAGCATCTAGGTGTTGTTGCCTGATGTGTCACAATGCTTTAAACATAAGCACTTAACACATGTATTAAGTCTGTCATGGTTTAGCAGCTGCCAGGAGCGAGCTGTTTAATGAGGTCAGAAACAGCAGGGGAAGCAGAACAGATGCAATAGAGGGATTTAGGCACCTATCATATGTTGTTTACATTGGGAAGGGCCTCACTGAGCTGTTTTTCCTCTTAACAAAATGGAGGTTTGGGCTTTGGCAAAAGTTTATGCCAAAAAACGTAGCACAGGAGGTTACATTTTAATCAGAATATATAGCCTGCTGCTTGTATGGTGACATTTCATTTTGAGACTTAGTCATCTTTAGTAAGCACGTAACAACAAATTAAACAAACAAACAAAAACCACCCAAATGTTAAGGTCCATTTTGCCAATATCAGGAGAAGCTCCTATTTGAAGCAAAGTGTTTCCCATAGTCAAGAAATAATGCTGATCTTTAGTATAGATAATCAAGTAAACAGTATTAAAAGATACAAATAGCACATGTTTTGACATTTAATATTTAGAATGGATACGAAAAGGGAGGGGGAAATCTAATTTATTAGATTATTGGACTCTTCTTCAGGTCTTGCTAGCAACGGATGCTTTTTATAGGTTTTATTTTGGAGTGGGGAGGGAAGGATGAGGAAATTTTCTTGCTGCAGGGAATAGTAGGAACTAATAATAGATTCTGTTACTCCAAAGACTAAGTGAACTTGCTCAAAGGACAGATAATTTTATCAGTTGGGTATTGTGCACTTGTCACTATATCATCACTGTTAAATTACATCTGTTGTCTTTCTGATTTTCTTTCTTTTTATACAGACTTCAGTATAAGCTGTAAATGTAAATTTGTAATACTTAGCTTTTGAGCTCTGTCCCTAAAGTCTTGCTCCACCTTACCAACAACTGGCAGCTTATTTGGAATGCTCGAAGGAGGTGATGACCTGTTAACCATGGAGCTATTTAAACCAAAATAATTGCCAGGTTTTGAAGAGAGTTAGTCTGTAATCTTGTTAGTCTTACAGTGTATTTTGAGAACATCTAGCAAGTCTAAGGAAACTGTCATTTCAGATTCTATAAAACAGGTGTAGAAGGTCTCGGTAATTATTGTGATATGAATCTTGGAACAAGAGCTTCTGTGAACTTTATGGGGAGTTTTAATGGCTTTTTGATGAGTTTTATAGTTTAAAAAACTTTATGCTGAGCCCTAATAAAAAGAAAACCAGGCTTTTTCACCCCATTCTAATTACTTCTGTGTGTCTCTGGAAAATCCATGCATACTTTGAAGGACGCAGCCCAACCAATTTTCTGATAAGCCCAGGAAATAGTTTTTTCATTCTAAACTCCATGAGGCTCAGCTTTGCAGTGAGATGATGTTCTGAACTCAGTGTTACAATAATTAAACTCCAGATTCTTAAGAATAACTTATATTTTGATCAAGTAATATTTCAATTTTTATTGTAGCAGGTTTCTGTTGAGGCTACTACCTAAAGTTTTTTTCTATTTTTTTTGCAAAGTGGCAATGAATATATAGTGTTTGAACATTACATAATGCCATCAGGTACATCAGAAATCCAGAAGTCCTTTAATTCTGTCAAATTGTAGTAAAAAAAAAAAAAAAACAACCCAAAAAATCCAGCAACTAGGCATAATAAACTTAAAGTGGATGTACTAGAACACCTCATGGCACATGTTAAGAAATGAAAACTAGTTATGAGTTTAACCACTGCTATTCCATAATAGCAGCATGTCCTGCTTTGCCAATAAATGATGCAATGCAATGGCAGAGACTTCAGGACTTCAGGACAAATACTCTCTCTGAAGCAAGTATTATTTGTATATTTGTGTGTGTATTGAACGAAAGCAAATAGATGTATTGTACATATATGCATATGTGTGCACCTATAAAATGATGATAGCTCTTTGCTCTCGTTTATATTTTCCTTTATTGTATATGTATGTAGTAAGGGGAATGTTTTCCAATACTTAGTTATCTCTCTGGAAGTGTATAATCTTCAAAAAAAACCCTTTGCGCTCACACAGTCTAAGTTTTGTGGTCTCATATTGTGTTGCTGATATATTTGTGATATTGTAATCTGCTTCCCGTTGAAAGACTATAAGCCAAATTCTTTCTTTGGAAACACGCTCATTATTTTCAGTAACTTGAACATAAACTGCTCAAATAGCCCAAGGCAAAAAAATGCTCACTGCTAACCTAGCTGATGGAATTAATGATCTTAGGAGAAAACCTTTCTTCTTCTTTCTTCAGAAATTCTGAAAATAGTGCTAGTGGGAGATCAGAAAAATGCTCATGGTTTAATTTGCTTTTATTAACAAAACACTGGTTGTGAAAATGAGTAGTATTATGATAATCTTTATGCTTATTTCATTCATTATTTATACTTACATGTGCATGCGCCAACCTTACATTAAGGCAATGCCTCTTTCAATAATTCTGTCTTGTCTGTAAACTTTGTGCATAAGAAAGTGGATGAAAACTTGGACGTGAGCTGGCAAGTTTGCACTTGGAGCCCAGAAAGCCAATCATAGCCTGGGCTGCCCCCCAGCAGCGTGGGCAGCAGGGCAGGGAGGGGATCCTGCCCCTCTGCCCCGCTCTGGGGAGACCCCCCTGCAGTGCTGGGGCAGCTCTGGAGTCCTCAGCACAGCAGAGACAGGGACCTGCTGGGGCGGGGCCAGAGGAGCCCCAGCAATGACCCGAGGGGGGAACCCCTCTGCTGGGAGCCCAGCAGGCGAGAGCTGGGCTTGGGCAGCCTAAGAGGAGAAGGCTCCAAGGAGACCTTACGGCAGCCTTTCAGTGTATAGAGAGGGCTTTTGAGAAAGACAGAGACAGACTTTTTGCCTGTAGTGACAAGATAAGGGGCAGTGGCTTTAAACTGAAAGAAGGTTTGTTTGTTTGGACATATGGAAGAATTTTTGTTTCTTTAAAACGAGAGTCATGAGACACAGAAACTGTTTCCAGCTTTCTGTGTGTGCCCAGAAAAACTGTGTGTGCTCCATCACTGAAAGCGTTCAAGGACAGGTTGGATGAGGCTTTGAGCAACATGTCCCTGCTCACTGTAGAGGGGTTAGACTAGATGACCTATAAATGTCCCTTCAAACCCAAACCAGTCTACTAGTCTATAAGAAAAGAAGTCCCTCAGGTGCAGGTATCTTTTGAAAACTCATCTTACTTTTCCAGTTATTCATCATGGGTATCTTGACTTTTTTATTGCTCAGATATAAAAGTGGCAGTCAAATTATCAAAATAAAGAGCAGTTCCTCATAGTATGCTTTTCAAAACAGACTAGCAGAATGATCGAAACTGAATCTATTTAAAACCAGGAATTCTGTGGGTTTTATCACTAATACCCTTGAATCCTCGTCAAGAGTTACACCATACTCAATTAGTAAATTGGTAAAAGCTGCTCAAGAGTGGTTGCCTCTAATTATTGTAGAAAATCACAAACATTGCCTATGGTCTCAAGTGCTTGGTACATCAGAAAGAATTGACTTCTTAGAATCGTCACTACTTTGTTAAAGGAAAAGTGCTACTGAAAACTATTTGCATAAATATACTGAATTATTAGGTAGAAGTCATCAACTGAGAAGGTTCTTGCTCAGGGAGTTTAGATGTCTTTTGCTCACTGGTGTTACAACTTCTGCCTGTATTATATCAGTACAGAAAGCAAGCTGTGAAAGCAAAGCACAGGAGGCAACTGGCTAAAGTAAACAAGGGAACGAGAAATTTAAGTTGGATTAATTTATTCTAGCAGGGACTTTTATTTTTGTCTTATACCTAGGTGAGAAAATGTTTAAGATTGACAGTGGGAGGAATGCACCACTTCACTCTCCTCCTTCCGAGCATTACACCATTATCTTCAACACCTTTGTCATGATGCAGCTTTTCAATGAAATCAACGCACGGAAAATCCACGGTGAAAGAAATGTCTTTGATGGCATCTTCAGAAATCCAATTTTTTGCACTATTGTACTGGGTACATTTGCTATTCAGGTAATGAGTTGGGCAAGAATTAGCAACGATATGTCAGAAATTTGCCTTAAGTATTTTTTGTGTGCTATTTTTGGAATCTAAATGCTGTAGAGGTTAGATTTAATAGAAAACTACCTGGTTTCACATGTTTTCTTAGTCAATACACATGTCAATAAAGTAAATGAAAAATGCTGTGTAGCCATAGTAATACAGCAAGAATTTTGAGCACTGGGACTAAGTCAAATCTTAAATTAATCTGAAGATGTATGACAGGTTCATGGCAGGGGGGTTGGAACTGGGTGATCCTTGTAGATCACCCAGATCCAACCCCCTGACAGATTCTGATTCTGTTTGAGCAGAGGACTTAGTAGTGTTGGCTTAATAGTTGGACTTGATGATCTTAAAGGCCTCTTCCAACCTAAAGGATTCTATGATTCTGTGATTGTAGGGAGCCATAATGATTTGTTGATACTGTAACAATTACTTTACTGTGAGAACACTAATTCTTCCTTCTCCTCCTGCATCCATCCTTTTGCTGGCACCTATCCTGTACTTGATACCATTTGACATTACCTTGCTGAAGTCTACTGCAGACTCAAGGTTGCTTAGAGTTGAGCTATTTCTATCCTTACGTTATTGTTGAATTCTGCAATGGCATCCTGGAAGCCATCAGTATTGGGACCTTTCTCATGGAAGGAGTAAAGAGGAAGACTGAAAGTTGTTTTGAGTTTTTTTGTGGAGTTTGGGATTTCTTGGGGGGGGTGTTTAGGTGTTTTGTTTTTTTTTTTTTTTCCCTCAGAAAATATTTGCCATCTTTCTTCTCTGCTTTTCTTTGTAGATAGTAATTGTCCAGTTTGGAGGAAAACCATTTAGCTGTTCTCCCCTGCAGCTTGACCAGTGGATGTGGTGTGTATTTATTGGATTAGGAGAATTGGTATGGGGTCAGGTAAGCATACAGGAATATGAAGATTGCTTTCTGGTTTTATAAACCAATTAAAGAGCTGATATTGTTCATAATCCCAATACGCTGTTGTTTCCTTGGTCTCTCACAACATCATATTTAGCACATGTTGAAATACAGGTAGCTTTCCAAGTATTTCAAGGACAGATACAGTAATAAGGACAATATATCCTGCTACTCCTTTTCATTTTAAGTTTTCATATCTTTTCTTTCCCCTTAGCAGGATGTGCTATTACCAGTGAGTTTAGTTAGGCTTTTTTTTTGTGGAAGACATTTGTTTCATAACTAGTCCTCTAGTCACAAAAGAAATACAGTAAGGGCAAAGGCACCATAACCCTCCCTGCATGAGATTACCCAGTGTAGCGTGTGTCTGTTCAGCCATGGCACATGTCTGAAAATAATTCTCTTGCTGATTCTGCCATTCTGTCAATCCGTGGGAGCTTGGTTCCTGGCTAAGAAGACTAAGTCAAATATATTTAATTTATATCCACAGTGATTCTCTATCCACCTAATTTGGTGCGAGAAGGATGGGAGGTGGGATGAAAGAAAAAGGATTTTTTGCTAGAAAAGTGCAGCTTAATTTATGTGTCATTTTAAAATTCTGCTACAACCTGTGTCATGATTAGTTAATATAGAATGTTATATAAATGTCAAAACAAGTTTTAGTGAGATAATTAAATAAGTTATATGAGTATCTGTCTAGAAGTAATAATACAGATACAATCAGTATTGTCAGAATAGTGCATTATTCTTACATGCACAAACATATTGCAAAGTTAATAATAATATTGTTAATTTTTTTTCATCTTTGAATGCATCATTAATGTATTTAAGTTGATGCCATCGGACACAGTTAAAAAAACTATATGAAAAATGTGAAGCTACACTTTGCCTCTCAGATGTAAAGATACATATAGAATAACTGGTTTGCCACTATGAAGAAACAGGCACAAAATTGCTAATTGCAATTGAATACTGGAATAGTTCTGGTGGAACTGTAATGACTAGATGCTGGTTTTCAAAACTGATTATTTGTTCTCTTATGGATAACTTTTTTTGGACTGTTGACCTGAGAATTTTTTTTTTTTAAGAAATACACTATGATTCATGACAGCTTTTAATGCATTTAACAGCTTGCTGAAAACCACCACTATTAGATTTTTCCACTGTAATTACTACCTGAAAATGGGATTTGACTGAGGACCTTTCAGGAGGAAGACCTAAAATCAGTTTGCTAATACTTGAAAAGAAAAAGTTAGTTTTCAGCTGATTGGAAAATACCAACTAGGGGGGTGTGAAGTAAAGCAGGGAAAGGGAGAAAAATCCTAGCTGTTTTATTAGACCATTCAGCTGTGAAGAACTTCCCACAGCCTTTGATGAATTGTACTGTTTGGCACCTTAATTTTGTTATGCGTGTTATTACATAACCATTGAAATCTAAGTATAAAATCAGCATCTGTTTTCAATTTAAAGTTGGACATGGTTGCCCAAGCCTTATTGCAAGATCCTAGACATGAAGTCAAAACTGGTATTGGAATATCTCAACAATTTTATCACTGAAAACCCCACAATTTTACAGCAATAAATAAAAGCAAATAAAAAAAAATAAAAAAATAAAGCACATAAGAGGAAAAAATCTTCCTCTTGTGGTCAGCACTTAGTATCCAGAAATTAAAAACAGAAGCCAAAAAAAATTTCATTATATATTTAGAAGTTTTACAGTCTGTGGGAAGTTCTCTCTTCATGGTGCTCTGCAGTAAGAGAGACTTTTCCTTTAGGAGATGCGCTTCTCTTCCTTCTCAGACTTTTCTCTCCTGGTGTGACTAATTCTAGTTCAACACAAAACAAATTTGTTACCCCTTTATCAGTCTCCTGAATCTGCTGTTCTTGTGAACCGCTAAAACCAATCAAAATTTTCAAGTTTAGATGTTAATGTTGGCACCTTTAAAAGTGATTTAAAGTGTAATTTCTAGGAAGCAAATCTAAGATGCTTTGAAGGACAATTTTATAATAGGTGGCCCTCATCACTTCTGAAAACAAAGTCTTTCTAAAATTTTTCATGTTACATTCCCAGAATTCTTGATTACTTTTTAAAACTGCGATAATTTTCCTGAGAATAATATTTAATTCCTTAATTTACATCCAGTCTATTGAGTCTGCCATTACCTGAGCTAGGCAGGTGTCTGCAGATCTGGAAAACAAGTGAACAAAAAAAAGACATGCAAATACCCTAAAAAAAGAGATAGAACAGAATCTATCAGCCTGGCCAAGAGAAGTTGTGAAGCAGGGATATGTTTTGTTGCACAGAATCACTACCAAGCACAGTTGTTTCTACATGTACTGTCTTGTGAGTGCTTCATCATCATCAGTTTCATCGGATATCAAACAGTCTCAAGTAGCTTCTTTCTGTAGAGTGCTGGATTAGAGTGTTGTGAAAGCTGGGAAGCTGAAGGAGTTTCAGTAAGTATTGAAATGACTAGCACTTACCTTTTTTTCTCCTGTCCTGTCTTTGCTTATGTCACACCAGTTCATTACTTTTCCAAGTTTGCATCTTTTTTTTCAAGCCCCCAAATGCACTTTGTAAAAGTTCTGTAGTAGCATAGAAATGGGATGTTATTTTTTTTCTTTTTTTTTTTTTCCTTTTCATTTCTTTATCTATCTGTCTTTGAAAATAACGTATTAAAAGTTGTGGATCGTGAAGTTCAAGGAGACTCTCAGCAAATTCAACAGCTTATTTTCATCCTGAACATATTCGGTGCCTTTTTATGTGTCTTCACTAAATCCATTCCAGTTTACCAAAACTTTAAGGTATTTCCTCACCAGTTTTCCTACAGTTGCCTTATTCTTTCTCCATCTTCCACTTGTTTGGGCTTCAGAGACGTAATTGGTCACTGCGGAAACAAAGACAAACAAAAAAAGAAAATTGCAGCACTTTTTTGCTAAATGGGTTTAACAGTTAACTTTATAGGATTTTTTTTTATAAGTGTTCAATATGCTCCAGGTAATGTCTTGCTTAAACAGCCATCTGCTCCTGTTTTTATCCAAGCCGACAAAAGAAATCAGAACAAAGAGAAAAGGACTACCCAAGAGGGTAACACTGAAATGCACTTAAAATAATTATAACGTCGTCTAACTACAATGTTTGCAAATGTTTAAGAGTATTAGCCATCCCCTGTATTAATTCCTTCCAAGGAGCACTTTGGTGGACAAAGATGATAAGAAGAGGGGCTGAGTTAATTTGAATTTATTAATAATAAGGTCACAGATGTAACTTTATAAGAAGTCCATCAGGGAGAGTGTCAAACGCACGCCTTTCAGAAACCTCATTTTTGGCAAATACTGAGGAAGGCTTTTCAACTTGGTGAAACAAAGGGAAGCTGAATACGTGAACCAATGTAGTGTGACAAGTTTTATAAGCATGAGATGCAACTAATTTTCAGCTCACGTTAACATACATTAGATTATTATCAGTAAATGGAAATACCCAAATAATTGCAGAAGTCTCAATCTTGCTAAGTTTTCTTTAAATAATGCTTACATCTTCTTGTAGTTTTGAAGAAAGTTCCCTAGCCCTAAGCTTGCTCCATAGCTGTGTATTGCCAGTGTGGTTGAAGGATGCAAGTAATGCTGTTTGTTTCATAGTTTAATTAGTTAATTGATCAGTTTAATAGTAAACTAAGTATTGGGGGACTAAAATGGAGTTGTATAATTGTAAAGTGCTACTATGAATATGCTTATCCTTAGCTTTCCTGAAATATCATAGATCTCATTAAAATAACAGTCTTCTTTTGTAATTAGCAGATTATTATATGATTGTTATTGAATGAAGCTTATGTTTTCAGTACTTTTTTATAATTTTAGGTCATTGCAACCATCCCAACAAGTAGGCTAAAGTTTTTAAAGGAGGCAGGGAGGCTCACTGAGAAGGAGGAGGTCCCTGAAGAAGAACTCAATGAAGATGTTGAAGAAATTGATCATGCGGAGAGAGAACTTCGACGTGGGCAAATTCTCTGGTTCAGAGGGCTCAACAGAATCCAAACCCAGGTATGCTAAATGTTATTGCTCACATGGTCTAGAGAAAAAAAAAGAAAGCTTAATCTTTGATCAAGGCAAGATGATGTTAGAAGAAAAGCCATGGAATGTTTGTGTGTATGAGCAACGGCTATTGTTCATTGCTTTACTGTTTCCAAAGGATGAACACATATAAAAGTAAAACAGATGAACTGCAGAAAGGAGAAACTGAAAAGATAAGAAAAATGATAATATGCTAAAATAGGAATACTTTTTTTTTGAGACTACTGTGAATGGACATTCCTGAAAAATAGCAGTACTTGGAAAATGCTAACGGTGACAATGGCTAGCAAAATGTTAGGAAGACTTTTTAAAGCATACTGCTCCATTTTGCCAAAAATATTTTGTTGCTGCCACTTTAGCAATAACAGAATAGTTTTAAATTGTTGAGTCTAGAGTATACAGTACCACTGGATTAAAAGCTAAGCTTTTCTGTTCTGGCACTGCCACATATACATTATCATGAAAAGGAACTAATTTTCTTTCCTCTTAGGTAATGAAAAATGTGGTTCTGGGTTTATTTTTAGTAGTAAGGGTCTAAGCATCCATTACATATTGAAATGTGTGTGTTGGGTACTATGGATGATTTCTAAGAAATATATTTCATAATATTATTAATATTATGATTATTAATATTATGAATATATTATCACTATATTACAACTAATATAATATTAGTTTTATAATATTTCACTTTTTAAAACCCCGAGTTTTGCTAAACACAAAAATTCATGCCATTTTTAATATCGTAAATATTTGCACTGAATCATGGTGCTAGATATAGTACAGATTAGTAAAATTTGTCCTGTAGTGCTAAGAAAATAATTTGAACTGTTTTGCCTTTTTCATTGCAGTGCAGTAGCATGTTTTATAGCACTTAGAGCTCTCTACTTGATCTTGCTAAGATCAAGTATTTGTGCCAGCTTGCAGAAGAGAGCAGCTCTGAAAGACAGATATGTCCTTGCCATATCAGATGTAAATGTTTCACATGATGCTTACAGGAAAAAGAGGTGAATAATTAAGAAAAGGTTTTTTTGTTTGTTTGGTTTTTTTTTTTCTGTGAAGACTCTTTTGAAGAACATTTTTATCTCAGAAGAGGCTGTTTTTTTTCTTCATTCAAGATAAACAGTACTTTCTCCCTTTCCTCATCTACAAATTCATGCTTTTTTATTTCTGGAGAAAGAGGTGCAGCCATGCATTTTATAAAAATGAGAGAAAGCAGTTAACTGAAACTAGGACAGTTGTGTCTCTTTAGTGCATCCGCAGAGGGAAAAATAAAGAGGGTGGAAACTGCTGTTAGGGAGATTAAGGGTTTGGGTAAATTCTCAGGGTTTTGTGGTAAGTAATTAAATACGGATCTTCAGCTTTGAGCTTGTGTGTCTTGACTCTCTTGAGTCAGGAGCACTCATCATTAGAGAAAATTCAAATTTTCACAGTATGAAGGTGACAAACAGGTGCCCAGGTAATGGTGATCTTTATGAAAAGGTGACCTCTAAATGTGGATTCTTTTCTTCCTGGTGGCTATAGGAGGAGTGTTGTCTGTTGGCATTTCTGTCAGGATGTCTTTCTGGTTGTGGTGAGTGTAAACAACTACAAGCACATAAAAAGCAAATTACACCCTTTCAGTTCTTTTGTAGTCTGAGAGGTAGCTTGTAGTTCTGCATACTGTTGTCCATTTAATTCACAGATAAATGATTATTCTTCCACACTATTTAAACCAAAATGAACTTCAATGATCTTTCTTTGCTAACATCCATTTTCTTAGTTTCCTTTCTGCTCTTAGTTGTAGAAATATCTCTGGTAGGATGTATTGTTTCTCTCTTGCCAAGAGGCCTCTGTGATTTTTTTTTTTCTCATTTTATTTATTGAGAGACTGATTTTTACATCCGTTTCACTTCTGTAGAATGATACCAAAAAAAGGAAATGGGCCAACAGATCCAAAAATAGTTCCAGGGTGTCCACTGGAGAGTGATGAACTTCTATACAGGTCAAATTAGATCCATTGTTGGAGGGAACTTGAGTTGAGCGCATTTTGATGCACTATGTGCCGTGGCCCATCCAAATGAATTCATACACTTGTACTGCATTTCTCAGGAAGCCAGCTAAAGAAGAGCTGATGGAAGAAGATGAGGATGTCTGTAGCATCCTTGGGGAAGCTGGAGGATTTGCAAGAATCCTCTGATGTCTAATGCACTTCTGGAGATGCGGAAGAAGGTAGAGCATCCCCTCACTTTATATGTATAAGAGGATGACAGTAAGATTAGGAATAAACCCTAGACTCTCTTACAACTACATGGGTCGTTCAAATGCTAACAAGACCAGTTTCCACCATCATACACTTGTGCTGTTTGTTAGATTTTTTTTTTTTTTTAAATTTATTTTCTATTCAGTCGTCATTGGACAGATAGCCACAGCACTTAATAAAACCCTTCTCTCCAGTGAAGGCACAGTTATAAAGTCATAAAATATTTATGGTAGGTTTGGGTTTTTTTTTTAAATAACTGACAGATCTCCCTTGCAATGCTCCAAAAAAACTCATCAAAACTGACAAAAATTCTGCAGTACTACGGACTTTTTTTTCTTCTTCTGCTCCCTCTCACAAAACAGAGTTCAAAACTAGACACCAGAAAAAGGAATTCCACTGTCAATTCTTCATACCGCAATGTCAGACATATTTCTATGAAGACATGCATGAATTTACTTTCAAGAAAGGTGTATAAAAAAAGCACATAACTAAATCAAAGAAACTGACTATCCTACTGGTGTTCCTTTTTTTGTGTACTTTTGTTCAGTTAGATATTTTTTTGTCTTATAAATATACTATAGGGTTTCTCAAGATGGTTGCATGTTCTCCTTCCTGAGCAGAAGAGTGTTTCCTTACTGGATAGCACTCTCAGAAGACCACTGACATAGGAATTTTTACAGACAACTCTTCCTAGTTAAGCAAGTTTTAGGAAGATGTAAAGGTGGCCTCATATTGCACAAAAGACAGAACTTTTCAAACCCTGTTAGTTTTCAGCATTTTTTTTCCAAGTCTTTGTTGCAGTTCTCATTCTGAAGGAGGAGACAAGACTGATCATACCATCTTGGCAGATCTTGCCTTTGGAAAGCTGCAAGTTCCTCTTCAGGCAAAACTCCATCATCTGAGTGACAAACAAAAATCACTGCATCTTTTTGAAACATATACTGAAAAGTTTATTTAGTTACCTCACATTTGAATATGGAAAAAAAATTGTGAGGTGTGGAGATTTGAAAACATTTCAAGCTACATGTCAGATTTTTACATCAGCAGGCCTGGTTCTTTCCTCCTCTGCTTCGTTTGTCCTGTAATTCAGTTTGCTTTATCTGCTTAAGGTAGGAAATAACTCTCTAGAAATGTTTTGAGAATAAAAGCAAAAACTGAAGAATATACAAGTGCCATGTTAACTGCTACAGAGGAAAGATTATTCCTCTTTAGATATTAAAAAATATACAGAGGTGCTGGACTGCATTTTCTTGCCTTGCCTTTCTGCTTTAAAACTTTTCTCTTGAACCAAGGCAAACCCTACAGCAATAGAAAGCACTCCTGCCAAGTGGTTTTGAGGTTAGATAAAAAGCTAGCACCTCATTTTATGGCTTTCTATTTAGCTTTTAATTTAGAAAACGTTGCAGTAGCCCAGTGTAAGTGGAATGGAAACTGTTTTATTTAATGCAGAATTATTATTTTTTAAATAATAGACTGTTTGGAGAGTAGATGGATGACACTTGGGTCTTGTTAACTTTAATGGCATCAGAAACACTTGCTGAAAATCTATTTTGTGTTAAATAACAGAAAAAATGTTTGTTCTGCCAGGACTATTCTGCTAGTATAAAAGATCGTTTTATTTGTTTTTTTTTAACTGCTAATCACTGATATTATTATTAGCTGTGCATACCTCAAAAATACAGGTCTTCTGCAGTATACAATATACAGAAAAATGAGAGAGAGGTGAAAAATTCCCTCCTTATAAATAAGCTTGGTATGTAGGACAGTATTTTTTTCTCTGCCTCAAGGCCTATAATCAAAACATGATTGCCTCCTGTGTTGTGTTAGAAGTTTTTCAAACTTCATGGTGCATGACTTATAATTTGCTTTCTACTTTTTAGCAACTAGAATTGTTCTAATTAAATGCATTCTTTTGTAATTAAAAATAACATCTTAATGAAAAATCCATTATTTATTTATTTATTTACATGAACTCTTTCTTCTTTGCTGCTTTCTGGTTCTGGAAGATAAAATTTTGGGCCAAATTTTCTTCTTTCTTGGCTTCAGGTGAACACAGCCCTGTATGTTCATCTTTTAAGATTCTGAAAAGGTTGTCCTCCTTCTCCTATGAATTATTATGTCCCTAAAGACCTGTAGTTCAGGAGTATGAGTAGATTGCGCATCTGTAATTCTTTTTCTCTGGAGAAACTTTTAAGTACAGATCTTCCCTTATCTTTTCACTCTTACACTAAGGTCTTTCAGTTTATTAGGAAGACATTTGTACATCCAGAAATGCCCTTTGACTTAGGATTTGTCATCTGTCTTCCACAGTGAAACACACTTCATGCTCTCAGTCTTTAAAATCTTTTTTGAATGATCTCTTTTGAAGAGTGCTCTGTTACCTGTGTTAGATCATGAAAACCAAGATCTGTATTTAATTCTACTTTTGTACACTGAATATTTCAGGTGAGTATTTAATATACCTTCCTGTATAACCAGTGGATTGAGCCATATGCTTTTTCTAGATGCCAATGTGAACCTTAGCTAACGATACACTTGTGCCCCTGTTCCATACGCTAACTCACCTCATGGTTTTGTTTTTTTTTTTTTACTGTGATATTTGTGTGGGACATGTAATTTCAAATAAGTCTGCTGCAGAAAACACTGAGCACAAAGGTGTAAAGTGTTGTGATGACCAGTTAAGACTGTCCAACTATTAGTATGCACATTTAAATGGAGGTTGTAAACA